TTGATACATTTTCACTGTACGGACGCCCAAAGAAGTTGATTGCGGATGTGTTGGATACTCGCGGTTTGATGTTCGCCATGCCTTCTGACAGACGGTACGGTTACTTGGAGATGTGGGATGTTGTGGGCTTGATCAATACCGAAGGCAGTGACAAATGGTCAGAGCGCCAGTGGAGGAAACAATTGAAGGACTTGACTTCAACACGTATGATGTCCGCAAACCAGGACGCTGAATCGATCTACAGCCGCGCCAGTCGCAGGAATACCGTCAGCCGAGCAGGCTTCACACCACGCGGTCTACGATTCGAAGACCAAGGTTCTGTTCGCTCTAGTCCGTCCACACGCCAGTCATCGCCTACACGTAAATTCCCCGATTTTGAGGTACAAAAGCCACGTCGTGTTGGAACGGCTCCCGCAGCGAACCCATTCGGCACTCCACGCCATCAGCGATCGGTATCGGAGCAAGTCAATGGACCCAACAACCAGAACACACCGTCGAGGTTCACGCGAGACGAAACGCCCTACGAAGACGAACGTGCGCCGACTCCTCCCCAGCACCGTGTGCTCCCCAGCTCCTCAAATGGAGCAGTCCAACCTTACGACTCGGCGTCCGACTACGATGAGAGCCCTATCAAGGAGCCACAGAATCTACCTCCACCTCCTGCAGATTTGTCCGCTCCTCCGCAGGGTTATGTCGATCTTCCTCCTACTCAGGAGCACGCTGCCTATCAAAAGCCGCCCATTCGTCCCAACATGCCTATGGCGAAGCCAAATCCTGCGGTCGATTCTGCTACGCTGCAGCAAATGGCTGACGCGTCACATGGATCGTTTCCAGGTGGCATAGCTGGTGCAGGTGCAGCGGCAGCCTGGAGAAACCAGGACACTATTCAGAGTAGGCGCAGTGGCGAATACAACGGATATGGTGATCAGGGGCAGTCTATGTATCTTGGTGTAAACTCAAGGCCACCTCCATCGAACCAAAACTCTGGTAATCGCCTATCTACCATTCCTGCATCGCCCTACATCGAGCACTCTGAATTCGTCGATTCGCCATCAGGCTACCAGCCGACAGCTCCGCCAGTTCCAGAACATAGTGAGTTGCCGCCGCAGCCCCCTACCCACGAGCTCCCTTACCGCCCACACCCCGAAAGTGGCGGTATACCTCGTAAACCAGTACCAGGTCGGTCTCCCCTAGCCTCAGAAGAGGATGACACCCTCTCGACCACTAGCTCAAGACTCGATAGTTTACGAGAAGACGTAATCGACCCCGAAGCTCTCGACGCTTTCAACATCCAACCTACGCTGCACCGTCAGGCAAGCGCATCTAGTAGCCGCTACGACGACGATGCGATATCAACTTCTACACCAGACTATGCCAGCATTGCTGAAGAGGAGGAGCCTGCGCCTCCACCACGAAGGGTGCCCGAACGACGCACCGATCGCCCTAGAAGTGGCGTCTTGACGATGATCGGAGATCCCAATGTAAAGCCTCCTTCGGATGAAGATCCGCATGGCTACAAATCCGTGCTGGACCCAGCACGAGCACCTGCAGCTGCAGCTGTGCCCAGTATTGATTTTGGCCCAACGTACGCTCTGGACTTTGACGGCAAGCGCCCAGGCACCAGCGGAACCATGACACAGATGTTGCACGACAACAGCGCCTCGCGATCCAAAGAGAACCTTGCGACAACTCCGAACGAACAGAATCGACTATCGTTCATCTCTGGAGGAAGCACACCAAACACGCCTATGCACATGCGTAGTGGTTCAAACTCTCCACAGATAACCGACTCACGACAGGTCGCGTGGCAACCAGCTACAGCCTCACCACAGCAGCCAGATAGACAGAGGCTGGATCCTGAAGACTGGGTGATGCACCGTGCGACTCAGCAGCAGCCTATGATGTATGGACATGGGAGAAGCAAGTCGCATACCCCTCCTCCGTTCGGTCGCACGCATTCCGGAGACTGGAGTCAAATGCAACCTACTATTGGTCGCACACACTCTGGAGATTGGAGCCAGATGCAGCCTCCTATCGGCCGCACACATTCTGGGGACTGGAGTCAAATACGGCGTTCGCCTCAGGGTTCGCCTGGACCCGCTCGTCCACCTAGTCGCCCGTTGAGCCGTGGTGCTGACACATTGCTTGATCAACGGCCCACCACCTTATCAGCTCGCGAGCAGGAACAGGTTGCTCGAATGACGAACACTCCTCTTCTGGACTTGTCGCAAAACCCCAAGAAACTACAGAAGCCGCCTCCAACAGGACTGACAGGCTACATCGATCACCGTGAGAAGGAGAAGGCAGCTCAAAAGGCCAATCGCCACAGCTATACTCCGGCTATGCAATCTGAGATCGATAGGCGCACATTGCAGAACCAACAGCGTCAAATGATGGAGGTTCAGCAACGCCAGCAGCAGATGATGCAACAGCAGATGCAGCAGCAGCAATTCGCGATGGCTCAGGCTCAGAGCACCTATGCGCCGAGTATGATGGGAATGCCAACTGGCGGTGGTGCGCCCAGCGTTATGGGCGCTCCTAGCATGATGGGTACCCCTAGTATGATGGGCACTCCTAGTGTTATGGGCATGCCTACCGGGCCTGGAACGCCGTCTGGAATGGTCGGCATGGCGTACTCTACGCCAAGCCAGATGCACCCCATGTACCAGCAACAGCAACAGCAGTACTTTCCCCAGACACCAACCCCACAGATGAATATCCCTGGTGGCTGGATTTCACCAGCGCAGACGCCGCAGGGCCAGTACTTCCCACAGTCGTCGCCGCAAGGCTATGGCAACATGGCTCAGCAGCAACAGCAGCAGAACCCGCCCACACAGGCCTACGGCGCAAGCTTCGACCAGGCGCAGCAGGCAGCCAAATTCGCGCAGCAACAGGCTCAGGGACAGTACCGACGTTGAACAGATGGAATATGAAATTAGGAAGTGGTCGAGATTATCTCTGGGTCGATTACAATTGGATTGAAGAGTATGAGACGAGATGCCAATGTTCACTGTATATACTTTTGTGTCTGCATCTTCTTCTCGTACATAGTATTAGATAGTGAGTAGTGGTGCATGTGGAGCTTTGAATTGGATTGGAAGGCTCGCATGTTGTAATGTGGGGACGTTAATGGAGTTTATGATGATTGAGGAAACAATTGAGTGTTTAGTTGTCTACTGCAATATAACTCGCAGGGCTATCAAATTCTTTTCGTGCCGAGTCGGCGGATCTGAAAAAGTCCCTGTATTCATTCCCGACAAGATATGCAGTTAGACCATGGCTGCGAGCGATGTGAAATCGTATCTCAGTCTCCGGAAAAGGAACTTCCAAAACTCTCTCCAACAATTGGCCGATTCGGACAAGTTCATCTTCACGCCATCTTGCCTCCCAGCTCATTTCGGTACTGGCGTGGTAGAAGATATCGAGCAGAACATCCTTTGCTGATTTACGATAGTCAACTACGATGGTTGAGCCATACTTCGCTATTCCCACAACAGCATAGACTTTGTCTCGGATATCTTCACACTCGTGGGCATTGTATGTTTCCATCAGGGAATCGATAGCAATGTCGCTGGGCCGGCCCACATACTGGTCCGATACTTTCGCCGCATGCGAAGCCCTAGTCTTAACGATGGACATGGCTGGACTGGAACGAACGGCGTTGTAAAAAGGCGTGTCCATCTCCTTATAGTATCTGGATATGATACTTACATAATAGTACAATTGTTCGAACTTGTACCATTCGAGAATCTCAGAGCCACAATGAATCTCTACACGTTCCGCGTGCACGACTTCTTGGATGATCCACATGCGCGACCAATATCTTCTCTTACATAATGACAACACACTGAGTACCTCTTTCGAGTTCCAGGTAGTCACTCCCTTCGTTCCACGCATAAGAAGAGTCTTGCCGGATTTGTTCTTGCAAGCGAACATGAGCCGTACAGTGCTCGGATTGCACCACTCCCAACTCACCAAAGTCCGCATGGCGAGATCACTATCGTCGCTCTCTTTGCCAAGCCAGATCAAAACCAATACAGCATCTCTGTATATATAGTCCATCATCCGTACTTGATGATTGCGCTCATGAACTTCTGACTGTTGTATACAGAGGGCGTCAATCCAAAATGGCCCGTAATTGCCATGAAGCAGCTGTTGGTGTAGGAAGTCCCATAAGTTCTCGCGGACTGGAACTTTCACACGGTTGATTTCGATGTTGGTGTAGGTTGCATTGGCACCCCATGTGTACGATAAAGCTTTGTAAGGTGGAGAGTACCCGAGCCTGTAGGTTTGCATGTTGCATTTGATTATGTCTTCGTTGTTTTTGGGTTGGAGTTGGAGTAGCCTGAACTCCAGGCTTTTCCGATCGACCGGACACGATGTGTAAGGGTCGTCCATCGGTCACTATTAGCATGCAACACGGACGGTGGACACTCTTTTCTCGATATGCTGCGTGATTGTGTGGTGTGAGAGTGTTGGGAATCGGAGAAAGAACAAAGAGACAGCTCCAAAGATGTGACACAAATGTCTGCCTTGAGCGGTGAAGCATCTGTTAGAGCGAGGGAGGCTGTGTCTTTGTGACCCTGTCGATGGGGCTGAAGTTCTCAGCTCTATGCATACCTGGGCGGTACAATCACAGCCAATGGTAAGAGGTTAGCAGCTGCTTTGGTGTATGAATCTGCTCCTCCGAGATTTGCAACCACAGGCATACTCTGATACTAGCGAACTTCCACTAGAATTATCATGATCAGTAGAGTGTCTGGAATCACTTTGGTTGACTAAGGATGCGAGCAAGATGGAGCATGTATTCGTGAGTGGATGTGAGATGCCTCGGGAGGACGAAGTGCGGGGCATCTCAGCTACGAAGCTACCCCTCCATGCAGCTTTCACGCCGCTAACCTCATCCCACGTCCGTCTCCACTACTCGCCCTGCATGAGGCCCGTCATCGTATCCATCACTCATCATCATCGGCCGACCTTTCTTCCATTTGGTTCCAAGCTTAACTCGTTCCGATAATGTTGCCGTGAACCAAGATGGGTTCTGAGTTGGTGAAGTTCTTTACGTCGTCCATAATCTCCTTGGTTCCTGGATCCTGCATGGCCTTTCCAACAGCTTCTTGGCTGTCAAACTCCATGACAGAGGAGATGGAGTACGGGCCATCGGCACTGAGTTCGCTGACGGCGTAGGACTTCAGACCGTGTGGGCCCCAGTGCTTCATGGCGAGGGGCATGTGTGTCTTGAGGTAGTACTCTTTGTCAAAAGTGGAGCCCTCCTTGCGAGGGTAGAGGACGATAGCGGTTGCGCCAGGCATGATGATGTTTAGCTGGAGGTTGTTGTAAGAGCTCTGTTGGTTGTGAGTAGAGGTTGGCAGATACTTGCAAGATGTACTGACTGTTGTAGTAGATCCGATGAGTGTAGCTGAACAGTACCGACGTGGGTATTTAGTGTCTTTATAGCTGCGCCGGTTCCTTAGATCGACTCAGTACCCCACTTCGATCCTTACAGCCGCTTCGGATCCTCCAGTCTTGTACACTCGCCCGTGATTACTCGTAGTCCCACTCCGATCGGTCTTAGGAAATACTCTGTTGGTTTTTGTCAGCTACGGCCATTTCCTGACTACGTACCAGCTCCAGACACTTGTCGCTCAAGGTTAGCCGGATCTTCCCGAGTGGATATGATCGCACGCATTTGGAGCAAGTATTTTGGGCTATCTTGCTAAGCTGATCTGTTGCCAGACATTTACTCCAACGCTGTCGCGGTGCGCCAGCTGTATCGTGATGTTGAAAGTCCGGTACAACCCCCGATATCTCCGTATGCGATCCCTGTCTTGCACATAATCACAGCTTGGTAGGTGGCTTATTCTTGACATCTGGGCGATTACGTGCAATTAGGCTGTCCTGGATGACCACGATCCGTTGTGCCCCCGGCCTCGTATCATTTCCAGGAAAAGATATGGACGGTATCGGCACGTCATCTCGCAACCCAGCTGTCCACATATCTCCCCATAATCTTCCTCCAGAAGGCGCTTTTGTTCTCGCCCATATGAAAGCCATCTTGTTCATTCCCCTGAGTCTTAACCCGATGACTGTATGCGTTTCTGTTACGATCTGGAACTGAGGTGGATCTCGCGGTGCCCATTGCTGGCTGTTTTTCACTGCGATACTTGTGCGCTGGGAGACAACCGCTTCCTGTATAACGAGGCCGATACCTGAATCTGAGAATCGTTCAGGCAGTATGGAGTTAGAGACGCGACCTTCCTCTTCGTGTGCGCAGTCCGTCAGTTTGAATCGAAGCGCGGGATCTAGCCCTACAAATGCGTCCGACAATCTTCCACCGTCTATGACACACGAGCGACCCGATTCGAAGAAGAGCTGTAGCGTGGGAAAGAATGTGTTCAGGGTCCAGTAAACAATCTCTAAGCGTGGTCAGCTCTGACGTCCTTGTACGCTGCGCATCCTCTACACGGACTCTCGTTCACCAACTGACTGGCCACAATCGTGTTTCCAATTTCGCCTGCGTGCGCCGATCTGGTTGTTCGTGGTAAAAAAGTACTTCGGTCCACGGTACGTATTGTCGTGGCATCTGATCCCCGATCGGTATCATCTTGCACCAGATCCTCGTTGAGCTGTTCCCGGTTTCTCGAGAGCGGAGGAAGGCTGCGGCGTCGCGTCTCTGAATACAAGTCGTGCGTCGGACATTTGTAGTAATCCATGCGACGAAAGCAGCTACTGTGTGTCCGCAGGCCTTTGCAATGGTCACCGGATCTTGGACGCTTGTATAGTGACCTTGGATTGCTATGACAAATATGGGATATGTATTTGTGATTGCGATATAAATGACTGAAAACTGAATGTTCCAAGAGCCGAGGCGTAGAAACGCGACAGACTGCGTTTGCGTGCGCCTCGAATATGACTTCACTGCCATTGGAAGAACGAAACCGAATCGACCCACACTATGGAGGAGGTCCACCCGGGCTTTCCACTAAACACGTGTTCTACTTCCAAGCAATTGACAGCCTGGATTACGAAAGACAAATCTATTGGTTCTTCGGGATGATATCAGCAGCGTTCTGGAATGTACTGCATCTTATTGCACTGTCAAGGGAATACTATCCCGTTAAGGTCTTGCACAGAACGTACTTTCTCAGGTCATAGAAGTGTTTCTATATGTCACAACTCGGGTCCAGAAAGCCTTGTATAGAGGACTGCCATGTGATTGCCTTTTTGGGCGGACGTGAGTGTGCGGCCGCAGATGTACGCTGAGTGAGCAGAATACGATTCACTTCCAACATTCTGTCTCAGGTGACGCTCAAATGAAGTAGTGTCTATGTACCCACGTGCTCTCGCCTTCGTCTAAGAAGGTGCAAGAGATCTCAGTCCGCACCTGCATCACTTCACTAGCGGCTCTTGGCAGGTGCTCTTGCCTTGACTATTTGTTTACTCCCACACACACTCACTCTCAAATTGAATCAAATCAGTTCATTTTCTTCTGCAGCCGGTAAGAAAAACAGAGCGATGACAGCCACTACGTAAGTCTCACCTTCTGCATATCGCGCACTTCAGCAGTCGTCAACTAACCTTACACCAGACGAGCTGGAAGCAAGCGCGCAGCTGGCGAGGTTATAGATGCCGCTACACCTACCTGGGAACCCAAAAGGCCTTTCAAGAAGATTGCAACGGCTGCGAGTAGTAAAGAGCCCGCCACAGAAGACCAACAGTGCTTCCGCTTCCTCGATCTTTCTCCAGGTATGGTTTTTCTACTCTTACAATGTGTCTTAGATACTGACGCCACTCAGAGCTACGAAATAGAGTGTACGAATATGCCAAAGAAGATGACACTCGACAGTTCGCTCTGCATCCGATATACTCCTACCTTCACCTCAAGTCGTATTCCAAGGGTACCTGGCAATATCTCGCTGTGACCCAGGTCTGCAAGCAAGTTCGCGCGGAGTATCGTCCGATTTGGGTCCAGGATCTTCGTGTCGGATTCGCATCAACTTGTGGAGTGACACTTTTCGCTGATACATTTCTGCATTATGGGAGCGGAACCAACCATATGCCTAAGCTAGTGCAGTTCTCGTGGGCTCATGGTCACGACAACGAGAAGTCCTTTGATTTGATGCCTATACTACGTCTACATGCGCGGTCTCCATCATTACGGATTGAATTCGTTCCACAACTGATTGCTCAAGGCGGATATACTGTGGACGACGACATGTGCAGAAGTTGCTCAAATCAGATCCACGATTATGATTCTATATCTGACTTCGAGAACTGCGAATGTCCAGATTACGATTGGACCCACGATGAGTGGTCGGCTTTCAAGTTTGAACAGATGGAATATACCCACAGCATACGAAACTTCATCCACAACCCAAACAAGTCTTGGCTTCAAGCAATACGAGAGGACAAGATGACGGTAACATGTGCAATTAATGAGGAGAGTTGCCATGATACCTTTAGGATTCTCTGCAGAGAACCAATCTGTCAGACAACCACCAAATCTCAACCAGCTTTGGACTTACTGGAGCAATGGGGGATTTTCGATCTTGACGTTAAGAAATGTACGGTGTTTATGATGGCTTATGAAGATGAACAGATTACGGAGAGGAATGGACGGAAGATCACCAACTCGGTTGTGCGCGAAGTTCGCGTTCACAAGGTACCCACAAAAAGACTAGGCCGCTTCGTCCATCTAAATACTTGCTGGAACAGATCACAGTCTGTTCTAGGTGTGTATGATGACCACTGACTATGGCCAGGCTATTCTGGGCATGTGGGACTCCGTGTATGGACGGAAAGTTCTATTCTAGAATGAGTAAGACGTTCGTAAACTTGATATACAGCCAGCAAATCTCTATCCCACGATATCTCCTTCTTTTGCTGTCAAGGGTGCACCAATATTTGATGATTTCTGTGAAAATCCTGTTTGGCTCCAAAAAGTTGCGATGTAACTGGTTATACGATGTGAAAGGACTGTCTTATCCCTACTAGGTCCTACTAGGTGCTGATCATGGTTCAGCCAACTCTTGTTGCAGCTGCTGCGTGGGTCTTTCGCTTCCTCTACATCATCGATATCACGGCTACTTTATGCGACATCCGTACTCTCTTCCGAGGTGTCATTAGGTCATTCTTACGATTGAGATATCTTCCTGACATACTATTGCTTGCTTGATCGCAAACCTGTCGTTTCCATCAGTATATTGCTGCCAGAACGGCCGGTCAAGACCATGAAGGATATGTTCACGGCATTTTTGAATGGACCCGTTCTTTAGTCTTTGGAATCCATGTTAGTAGCCCAGCCGAACTGGGCATACTTCTTATAACTCGTCAGGAGTTATAAATGATACCGCAGTCAGAGCATTACCTTCGACACAGTCCAATGCTTCCGCCAAGGTTCCAACGACTGTTTTGAATCTCGTAAGATTTTGAGTTGGCCATCAATCTCTGTATGAATCGTTTGTGCACTTATAATGTCAGAATCTCAGCATCTTCCTGCCTTCCGATTTGCCAGCAACATGTTGTCATGTCAATAGAGAGAAGGGTGTGAAGAGAATGGACCAAAATTTACACATCTAAGGGAATGAACCTAGCACGTGAGTCGCTACACTCAGATCCTCGTAATTAACCCGGAACGAGCGGAGGTTTTGTTCATGTGCACTGGTAGAAGATCTTTTGGAGAGAGTCAGCACCAGCATTACAATATGAGACCAATAGACATACTTCGATCGTCCAGCGCCTTTCACTTAGCCATACTGCACACAATTGCTGGTACCCAAACACCTCATGACAGAGCAGAACATGTTTTGTATTCTACTCCTTGGTAATATACACACGACGTTGGCCCTTCACCACCGCCAAATCCGGAAGCCCAGTCCATAAAAAACAAACGCCACGAAACCCTATCCTTCGACTTGCTCGATAGTATTTATAAGGGTATAGAATTGTAAGCCCCGCCCATGAAGATGAAAATGCTTCCAGTAAACCCCACTAATGTGCACCGGTCCCTGTACCTGTATTCACACCACTTTCCCTCTTCCGTCTCCGTCTTTGGCGCGCATTGTCTCTCAGGAACTGGGGGTCGATGAAATCGTCAGGCAACTCAAACTCCCTTTCGACGAAATCGGGTATAGGCTGGCCAAAGGCAGATGCGTTGCGACCGTGTCTGTGTTTACCAAGGGCAGCGGCGCGAAGGTGTGGTTTAGCATAAAAGGAGCTGAATGGGGCTGCAGGTTCAGGTGGCACGAATGGGAGGAGAAAGCCATGTGGACGCGGTGGTCTTCGTGGTTTCGGTGGCTCAGGTTCTTTGGGCTGCTGTCGTGGTGGTGGAGCATCGCGGCCGTTGACTACAATGTTGTCTGAGTCTTCGGTCTCTTCGCCGTCTTCTTCCTCGTCGTCTTCCCTCGCAGCGAGAGCTGCTTCCTTTTCAGCACGTAAGCGTTTCTCCTCTTCCTTCCAGACGCGGAATTTGTCGACTAGTGCTTCTACCTCTCTGACAAAGTAGTCGCGCTTGGCCTCCCAGTCCTTTCTCTCGCCGTCTGTCACGCCTGTTATGCCCATGACCTTGAGCCAGTCTGGACCCTGCAGCCCATCGAGGAGCCTCTCTAACTGCACCTTCTCGTGCATGGCGCGCTCCTTTTCGATATTGCGCAGCTGCTTCTCCTTGCGTTCAGCGCGTCGGTGTTGTGTGAAGAAGACCGAGTCGGCGAGGGGGTCTTCGCCGTCATTACGGGTGATGGCATTGGCTATAGAGGCGTAGTCGAGGACGGTGAAGGAAGTCGAGGACGGGGCTAGGGGTATTGAGGGATCTGAAGCATGGCGCGATGGGGACGAAGGTCTCGCTTTCCGTGAGCGCGTCGGGCTTAGGGAGCTTCGCGTGGGCTCAGGCGTCTTGGGCTTGATGGGCTCGTCGACAATGTATATGGGGGTATCGATATCGAGGAACTCTGCATGCGATCAGCTGGTAGGCCACGCGACATGTGACAGTGACATACCATCCTCTTTGGGCACACCTGCAATGATGTCGTCGTAGTTTGAAAAGTAGACGGCGAGATCACTCTTGAGGCGGGATCCACCGTCGTGGCTTCTCAGGCTGCGCTTGTCTGTCGACGACGCTGTCGAGGCCGGGGCGGGGACAGCTGGGGGCGCAGCAAGCTTGCCGGAGCTGCCTGGCCTAGGCGTGGACCTCGCAGAGGGGACGTCGTCGGCGTCTATGCCCAGCGGGGCGGCGACGCCATTGGTGATGCGCAGAAGCTCGCCGTGTGGTTGTGTCACGGTGATCTTGGTGGGAGGTCTCGTGTCGGTCGCGTCGTCTTCCAAGGCTGTGGCTGGCCGCTTCCTGCTGCTGGTGCGCGCAGGCGGAGGGGGTTTGTTGGGCGTGTGGGTTAATTGCTTGACGGATCTATCGTCATCAGCAAGCGCAAGCAATGGGCCGCTTTTGGAGGTCCGTCTTGTCGCGACGGGCGTGTTATTGTTGTTGCGCTGGGCTTGTTGGAGGGCGTCATCGCGCGACACGGGCAGGAAGTTGAGCCTCGTCTGCCGTTCATTCGAGCTTCGCAGCAGCGGAGGCCGAACGGCGTTGGCCATGATATTGAGCAGACTCGAGATCATTCGCGATTCGCTGGGTCATCTTTCAGCTATTCATCGTTGAGCTGCCATTGAGTGTCGCGCTGAGATGTGCCAAAACGCGAGCCGTTAGGGGTCGTCGAGTGGCAGAGCTCGCGCAGTTTGCCAAACGAGCTGCTGCACCCAAAAACTATCCAGTACGCCTCACCAAGACACATGCGTCGCATACAGACAAAGTGACGTTGAATTAAGCTTCATATCAGAGCCTTCCCTTCTCCATATCAGACTGTACATCAGAAGAATATTCAACGAATTGCAGTGCAGCGCATATGAGATACTTGGAAGAGTAGCGCCACCGACGCTGGTAGCCAATCAGTACCCTATGATCCCGGCAGCACCAACTCGACATTCAAAATGGAAGTAATCCTGCATGGGCAGCTTTGCGGAAAATTTATATCTACACGTGAATCTGGAACAATGAGACGTCCTCGCGACTGCTTCAGTCGTGCTCGTTACTGTCACCCGTCGTGCACACCCCGGACTACCGGCACCTCGATCCAAATCCAGCTCTTGTTTGCCACACCTGAGACACCAAGATCAACACGTACACCGACGAGCACCTCACGAGAAAAGAAAGTCCTTCAAGACTGGTGATCCAGCGAACTCCGGGTTGAGCAAAACGCAACTATTAATAGGTCAGCCGATGTACGCTAGCTTTGTTATCGATAAACAAACTTGAGAAAGTACGAAAGTCCTTGTTTCCGCTTTTCCAGAAAACGGGGCCTAAAGCGAGCTATGCCAGATGCATTAGTATATTAACTGGTGGAGTGATGCCGTACGAGGACATGTGACTTACATATTACGGACTTGGGTGGGAAGTGCGGCATGGAACCCGCGGCGTGAGGAAAGGTCTGGAGCAGCTTTGTGTGCAGATCTTCAAACTCTGAGTATCTGTACACAATCAGTGGATGCTTTCGAAGGTCGTGGAAACATGTCTTACCTCTTTCGTATCTTCATGGGACCACCCTGCAACAGTTAGCATGTGCATGAAGGTTCATCGCCTGGAGATAGGCAGCATCTCGCAGCTCCACCACGGGCCTTGTGCATGAAACCATCTTTTGGGAAAACAATTTCATGCGAGTGATTGGCTACGAGGACATGGCTCTGCGGACTAGCGCATCTCGATGCGGCTCGGAACTTACATCCAGTGTCTCGACCGTGCAATTGAAGACGACATAAGCCCCAAATCCAGGTGCCGCAGCCGTGCCGCTGATGACAACGTAATCATCTATCGTGACACCCTTGGCCCAGAGAACTTTGCAGTGGTCTGAGCCCTCATCCGTATGGTCCTCGAGGCCGATGGGAGTGGGGCGGCCGTTGTCAGCAGAGTAGTTGCTTAGATAGGACGCGTTGCGCTGGTGGGATTGCCAGTATGGCGGGACCACGCTGCCAACGCTGTTGCGGTCACCCGCGGTAGCAGTGGCGGGTTTTGCCCCATCTCGGGCTGGCGACGACGACGGGTCTCCAGTTTCAAAGCTCGCCGGCTCCATCCATTTACAGTAGATGGCTGGGCAGGTGGCGCGTCAAACGGGAAGGCGGTTGGTATCTAGGTGCTGCCGCGTCGAGGTGAGGGGTAGATATGTACAGTGTGGTGCTGCAACAGCTGGGCCGGAGCATGCAGCCAGTCGCGTCTAGTGTCTTGTTGACGATGAAAGAAGAATTGGCGGCGTTTTGCCAGCGCTCATCTCAACCGAATGATGCGCAGCGCGAGCTAGGATGCGAGACCCTGGGTGAATGACTAGCGGGTGCTAGGGCGGTGGCCAATACGAACAAGCAAACCATTGCATCCCTGCACAGCCGAGGGATTAATGGGAAACTTCCAATACAGCGTCTCACGATTTCCGACCCAAAGCCGCCCTTTCCACGCCGTCCACGCCGACTCCACAGTCGCCAGATGGCTCGAGTCACGGCCAACCCGTCCCCAACAGGCATCGTCCCGGGCGAGAAGGTAGGCGGGGAAACGCACGCACCCTTCCGTGAGCCTTCCTATCTGATACTCCACTAGCTTATTGCTTCCCGTCGACACATCCCTCCCTTTATATATCAGACGCCGCCTCTTTTTTCCAGCCTCCTCATCACTTTCGCTGAAGAGTTGCCCTTTATATTTGATTGTCCACCGTCTGTCGCTGACCGTCTATTATTTTAATACCTTCGCTGCATCTCCGCTAATACTCCTCCACCATCACCACCACCCCAACCGTCAACATGCGTTCCGTCTTCGCCCTCAGCATTGCCGCCTTCACTGGCCTGGTCGCTGCTCAGGACGCTCCCCAGATGAGCTACCCATACACCATTGACCCCGACACCGTCGACCAGTCTACCAGGGGTATGTAGAGTCATCTGTATCAACTTTGCCTCGTCTAACATGGTCCAGATTACTGGTGCGACCAGAACAGGGCACAGTGCCCGCTCATCTGCCTCCAACAGCCCGGTGTCGACTCCATGACCACCGAGCAGAACGACTGCGATTCCGACGCTCTGACCTACACCTGTGTCTGTGACAACGGTGTCTCTCCCAACATCACCCAGTACTCGCAGACCCTGCCATACTTCATCTGCCAACAATGGGGAAACAACTGCGTCGCCAACTGCAACGGTGACAGCACTTGCCAGAGCGCTTGCCGGTATGTTCGATCGATCGATCCAAGTAAAAACAACACTAACATGATTACCAGTGAGGACCACCCATGCGGAGCCCAAGACCCTTACCGCGGTAACACCTCTCTACCTACCACCATGTCCTCCACCGCCGCCCCAACCGGCTCCAACGGCGCTGCTACCAACACCATCCCCGTCACCGGCTTCGGCGGCGGCGGTGCTGAGGAGACCGGTTCCAGCGACAGCGGCTCATCCGACCAAGGCGGTGCTGGCTCCATCTTCATGCCTAACGCCGGTCTTGGTCTCGCCGCCGTCTTCGGCAGCGTCTTCTTCGGCTTCGCCGTCCTCTTGTAAACATGAGGAGAGTCAGACAATCTCGTCTAGCAAGTCTCTGCTTGCAATCTTCGTCCTATTTTTCATGCATAGCGTTTTCCGGCATAAAAACTCCAGTCCTTTTCGATTGTTCGATACCCACCTTGGGGCATTCCGCTCTCTTCATGACAGCCTGGCAAGGCTTTGTCCTTTTATCTATTGCATGGGGTTTATGGCGTATTTGTGATGGTGACGGGGTGTTGGATCACTAGCCCGAAGGGCAAAAGTAGCATTACTTAGCATGCAGTTGTAATACATTGGACGCAGAGGTGTTGATGCTGAGGAACTATTACGTATTCTTGTCATGTTGTCTGCCTGTGATGTGTTTGATGGGCTCCAACGCCTCATAAACGCTAAAGATTGATCCCAACTTTTAGTTCGGTCGAATAATTCTTTCAAAGATACAAGTGACCCCGTCTAGAGATACACCTTCGGCGGCGACTCGTCCCACCACAACCTGCCCTGTAAACTCTTCCTCGGACTCCGGCGTCGTGGATGATGATTCATCACGCTCGCTTTTCCTTGCTCTATATACACAGCTCGTAGATCTTCACTCCCCTCTAGACTCCCTGTTCGACGCCTGACAGGCGATGGCACATCAGCCATTGGTGGGGAGGCCGAGATCAGCGGACTGGGAGGCGCAGGGTGTGTGATGCTGAAATCCGGTTCATCTTCTAAACCTCGGACTAAGTCACCCTTCTTGTCAACAGTAGAAGGGTCATCGTATGGCAAGATGGGCTGTGAAGGTGCAAGTGTAGAAAGCCGTTCGACGGAAACGTGAAACATGCGTGAATCACTCGATACAGATCGCTGGAGCAAGGCTCGTTGTGGTGGACCTAAAAGTAGTGCTTGCATGGCCTCTGGGGAGGGAACGAGAGTGGGCTGAAGAGAAGGTGAAGAGGGAGTCGTATCTGGGCTGTACTCGTGGGAGAGCAGATTTGTTGTCGATGAGATGAAGGATGGGGGGAAGGTGGGTGAGTCGTCAATGGGTTGGGCTGAGCCCACAGGAACCGCAGACAAGCCGCGACTGATGTGATATGGAGACGGTATTGAGATTGGCTCAGAATGGCCATTGGCACCTGGTTCGGTCGCATTTGTAGCAGGTGTGCTGACTACGTTTCGTGCGAGGTGACATGGAGTCCTTGACGGTTTAGCCGTTGGTATAGGAGAGCCGAAGCTGGAGACTGAAGAAGACGTTGAGGATCGCCGCTCGTCTCGTGGACAGTGAGGTGTAGGTGGAACTAGGCGCACGCTTACTTTTCTTGTGGCAAGCTCTGGCCTCCTCCTGGGTCCGTTGTAATCCTCTGGTAATACTGGAGCTGATGACTGCAGTGGACCAATGGCGATCTGGTGGCCGCAGGCAACGAACTCCTCAGATGCAACGATTTGGCTTTCGTCCGATGGTGCATCAATCAGAACACCAGTCCGTACAGTGGAGGGTCCGGCCGTATCAGACGAAGCATCCTGGTGAGGAGAGAGAAGTGGTTGATCTTGTGAGATCAATCCATCCTCATCATCATAGATCATCCGACCCTTCCCTTTGTCCACTTTGCTAGGCCTTGAAGGCTTCAAAAAGTCACTGAAACTAAATTGAGAGTCTTTTCGTTCTCGCTCTTCGCATCTCTCAGCTCGGCTATCATATTGCCAATGCTTGTCGAGTTGCTCCAGATCACTATCTCCATCGTACTGTAAGTCGGTCTTCCATTGCGCCTGTATGGTGTTTCTTCTTTGAGCTCGGAGCGTTGCCTGGAAGGTGTCCCAGTCAGTAGTGGAGTAAAAGCAGCTAGGGCCTACTTCGCCGTTCACATCAAAGTACTCGCTTACATTGGGCAGATCAGCCAGGCCCATTCCAGCGAGATCTTTGGAACTACACTGGGCATATTGGTCTTCAGATGGGCGGCTTGTGTTGTCAGATATGCCCGAGCGTTGGGCAACAGTAGGGTTGGGTGGTGGGTATTCATCTTCGGCAGATCCTCTTCGACCATAAAAGAGGCGTCTAAGCCTGACATTGACCTTTTCTATTACCTCAGTGACCTGTGACGGCCTTCGGGAATGAGACCCATTGCTCTGGGTGTTGGGCGTAGGGGGCGTACTGGGAAGCGTTGGGTAAACACTGTCGAGATGCGAAGCTGATTCAGTCATAGCCACGTCGTATGTTGGTGGTGGTAAACAAGGACAGTCGATTGTTGTCTCTTGAATACGTCTTAATGTTTTTCTTCGTTTCTTCAAATATCCCCGCGTCTGGAGGAATGATTCGGTTGCTCGTCGCTTCAGCGTAAGCTCCGGAGGGTATGGTAATCGGTATGTTTCTGGTTGAACTTCTGTTTGGCTTATGTTGACAACTACATAAGGCTCATTGGAAGGTATGTGTACATGAACTTGAGAGGTCATAGCATTGGACAGCATGAAAGCTGTTGAGCGTAGTAGGGCGAGCAGAAAGAATGAAAAAAAGACTCGATGACTGGATGATTCTTATGACTTTAATAGTCTAGCGATAGCATTAGTACGATGCGCAAGAACACGCTGGTACGGCCAATGACCAAAGTCACATATTTGTACCGAAGAAATCCGCCAATAGTGCTTGGTTGACAAGAAAACAGGGTGTTGACACGATGGCGCGAACCTGAATAAACACCGATCCATCTGGTTAGTAGTATTTTGGAAGACCAACAAAGCAGTCTGGAACAGATAAGGAAGTTCTGCGCCTGCACACTCATGCAGGAGAAACATGCAGTTCGAGCGTTTCTAGGAAGACTGCCCTGTAGAATTTGGCAGATATGAGACGTTACCACGGTAGGAGGTGCTACCGTGGTGACTCGAGAGGAGATAGTTTCGTGCGTATTTCGTTTAGGTGTTGGCACCATCGAGGAGTATCGGTACATTCGCCATCATTACCACAAGAGATTGTCCGTCTAGACCTAAATCATCGGCCCTTACGACCCGATAACGCAGCATCGCCCTCGCATTATGAAGGGGCCGAGAAGCTGTCAAGGAGTCTTTCGACATCATAATCCTCACAAAGACAGGATGTACTGCCTATCAGCGAGCAATAACTGGAAGGTATAATGAAACAAGAGGGGTATAAGCTGTCTCCAGAAGCGTTGCTTCATGAGGAAGACCAATTCTCCTTCTAGAGCAGACAACTGTCGCTAAGGAAAGCCTGGAGAGGATCCGGAAATCTCAATTGGAAGAGAACATGTTGTGGTTTGGATGTGGTGGAGAAGGTGGAAGGAGCCGGAGCTAACATCAGGCGTTGACGAGGCCCCGGCAGGTCGCCGCGACTTGCCATGCATGACATAATCCTTAGCGCGTCAGTCTGCAAACACGCCAAACAAACCTATGATGACACTACCATTCCGACTTTCGTGGTTCGCGAATTAAATCCGTTTTCCCATGTTACGATAGTCTTCAAAGGCTCGTGATGCCGCCCCGAATACTTCTAAGAGGGCCCAGGGCTCTATCGTCGCCATCGGCAGCCTGGGTCCGTCTGCGGCCTCAGCAGAGGTTTGCCTCGAGCTCCGCAAATGCACCGGAGGCTTACGACGTCGTCTGCGTAGGCGGTGGACCAGCAGGTCTGAGTCTCCTGACCGGTCTGAAAGCATCGCCAATCACAAGCGGGCTGAAAGTTGCACTCATCGAGGGACAAGATCTACACAAGAATCGATTATCACAAGATGCTAGTTTGGAGAGCTTTTCCAATAGATGCAGCTCCCTCACCCCGGCCTCCGTGAAGAATTTACAGGGTACGAACGAGCGTGTAAAGTGTATGATAGTTCCGGTCTGACGTGCGCGAAATAGAAATCGGAGCATGGGCGCATGTCAACACACCCCGGGTGCAGCCATACCAAGAGATGCAAGTATGGGACGGCGTCACTGATGCGCGGATATCGTTCGATTGGCACACAGCGAAACCTCTCCTTACTCCTCGTAACCCGGCGCAGCCTACGACGATCGCCTACATGATCGAGAACGTCAATACGGTTACCGCTCTGTTGAGCCGGCTCGAACAATTGGGCGGTGTCGACTTTTACACATCCACAAAGGTCAACTCGATAGATCTGGGTACAGATACAGAGAAGATGGACTTCTCATCATGGCCAATGCTCACGCTATCCAATGGAAAGACATTGGCAGCTAGGCTGTTAGTCGGAGCCGATGGTGCGAATAGCCCAGTGCGGACTTTTGCAGACATTGAGTCGCGAGGCTTCGATTATGGTAGACACGGTTTAGTGGCTAGTCTGAAGCTCGAGGGGCAAGGCTGGGGCGGTCCAGATCACAAGATCGCATACCAGCGGTTCTTGCCAACCGGCCCCATAGCTATGCTGCCCCTTCCAGGAAACATGTCGACACTTGTCTGGAGTACCACGCCGGAGCGTGCCGCGAAGCTCAAGACGTTGTCACAAGAGGATTTCGTTGCAATGGTCAATGCGGGTTTCCGACTGTCACCCACAGACTTGGAGTATCTACACACACTCTCATCTGGACAGGCAGAAGAAGTTGAATGGCGAGAGAAACACACGCCTGTCGACGAACATGCGATACCAATGCGAGTAGCACACGTACAAGACGGTACAGTCGCATCCTTCCCACTTCGCATGCGACACGCGGATACATACACTGGTGAACGAGTTGCGCTGGTTGGCGATGCGGCGCACACCATACATCCGCTCGCAGGCCAAGGTTTAAACCAAGGCCAAGGCGATGCTGCGGCGCTCGTTCGAACGATATCACATGCAGTGCAAACTGGCCAAGACATCGGATCAACGTTGGCGTTGGAGAGCTATACCAGCGAGCGATACGCGGAGAATAATGCAATGCTGGGCGTATGCGATAAATTACATCGACTGTATAGCGTTGAATCAGGCCCGCTTGTAGGATTGCGAAGTCTCGGATTGAGAGCTGTTGATGCAATGGGTCCACTAAAGGGTTTCTTCATGAGCCGCGCTGCAGGTGGATCTTAAACGTTTGTACTTGTATCTGTAAACACATGTATGCATACCTAGGTAGCTTGGCAACACAAAACAACATACGATTTCTGAACAACCACCACCGAAGAATCCCGATATGCTGTTCCGCGGACGATACGCGGCTTACGCATTTTCCCTGCATCGCGGCCCCACTAATAATCTGGTCCTTCGGCACCTCATGGAAACGTTAAAACAGACTTGCTCCTACGACAAGTGAGCTTACATATTTCACTAATCGACCATGGCAGACCACACGAGTGAGATCGAAACTTATGGCAGCAACGACGACTTCTGGATCTTTGGATACGGGTAAGGCTGCCGAATGAATAAGCCTCTGCAAACACGACGTAGCTAACGCCTCGGTCTTAGGAGCTTGATATGGAAACCACCGCCACACTACGGTACGGCCCGAACAGAACGTTCTCACCACGAAAAGCAAACATCCCATGTTACTGCGATTGAAAATGCATTTCTTGATCTAATTGCGAGGAATAGATCAACGGGTTCCAGGATTTATCGAAGGATATGTGAGGAGGTTCTGGCAGGTATGTTTTTTTTTTCATCGATGGAGAGATGTGGTGAGATGATCTTCTTTGCTAATGGTAGTAGGCGAGGTATGAACATCGTTCGATGGATACATGGAGAAGCGGGTCTCTTTCATGCAGAGTATGCTAATGTTGGCATGATACAGTGAAGATCACCGGGGAACGCCCGAGGCTCCAGGACGTGTTGTCACTTTGATCGATAAAGCGCATTGGGAGACTCTGACAGACACTGTAAGTAATCGTCTTACCTCTCCCGTATCACCCTGTTCACCGTATACGAATGCACTCAAAATGCCTCCTGCCAGAAATCTAATAGCAAAATCCAGCATGAATCCACCGGGCGCGTGTGGGGCGCTGCATACCATATTCCCGCCTCTCATGTAAAAGAGGTGCGCGAGTACCTCGACATCCGCGAGATAAATGGATATTCCATTCAGTTCACGCCATTCCATCCTGCTATTAGTACATCCGAAGTCACGTCCCCACCTCACGACTCGGAGCCGAATGAATCCGAAAGAGGCATGTGGGCGGGCATCCGAGCTACCAACTCAATAAGCGTGACGGAGGAGGCGGGAAGTATCAAGTGCCTGGTGTACATTGGGTTACCAGAGAATCCGCAATTCTTGGGCGCGCAGGATCCTGATGCTTTGGCGAGAAAGATATTGGAAAGTATGTTTAGTTTCATTTTCGCGACTGTTGGGTCATTTCCTACTAGTAGACACATGCTGATCCGGTTGTAGGCAAAGGACCAAGTGGCGAGAACAAGGAGTACCTTTACAATCTGGAGATTGCGTTGCTTGGATTAAGCCACAACAGTGGAGACGCCCACGTGAGCGATTTGGTACGACGATGCAAACAATTGGAGCAGGAAGCTGGAGTCGGAAAGGAGGAAGGCAACAGTAGTAGTCAAGGGTTGTACAGGGTAGGAAGCACGGAGGAACAAGAGGAGGTTGAAAAGTAGCATGGAGCACAGCGGACAAGTCCGTAATGTAACATCACCTGTGGCGATACGCACTTGACAACAAGATCGAGCCAATCGAGGCCTCTGCAAAACGTCGCTCGGGCTATTATGATTACGAAGCAGATCGATCTGCATGCAACCACCAATAACGCCAGGCAGATGGATAATGCGCTTAGAATATACAAGAAGAGAATGCTAGGGACTATGCCCACGCGCCGACTAGTGCCATTAACAACGCTCCTCCTACGACACTGGCACAGGCCTGCAGTCGCCGCTTCCCACGTAAAGTGACATAGCTTTCGTCACTGAGGAAGTCTTCAGCCAGAAGCTCCACCAGGCCAGCAAATAGCAGCAAGCCACTGGATATGGCGTTCATGAAGCCTACGGTCAGTAAGCCAGCTTCACTTGCTGGGTCATACAGAGTGTGAATAGCTAGACCTATCGCCTGGCCGATCGGTGTAGTTGTTCCGTAAGCCAGAGCCATTAACCACGGTTTTGGAGAGCCCTCGGGGAAGCGGATAGCGCTGATCCTGGAGCCGAGTGCGAAGCCTTCGAAGGTTTGGTGGAAGGAGATGGCCACAAGGAAGACAATGAAGGCGGTGCCAGTGGCGACTGAGAGCGCCATACCTATGAAGACGGAGTGGAAGAGGATTCCAGCCTCTAGAAGGAGACATTGCAACAGTAACTTTTTATTCTGGGCTTCTGTCTTCTCCTGGTCGTCTTCGGACGACTCGCCGCCAGGTCGATGAGTGTGATTCTGAGCACGGGGACCGGGCAGTAGGCGCGACTCGTCTTCTGAAAGCTCTTCGTTTTGGTGTTCCAGCTCTTCTCTGCTTATTTCAAGATCCGAGTCGTTGTCGTCGTCTAGAGATTTTCGGCCCAGGGGTTCGTTGGGTGTCATGGGCGATGCCAGTGAAAAGGACGGTGATCGGCCTGCCATCAGATTGGCTGATGATTCGACGTCATGCAGCATGATGCCCGGCACGTTGCCGTTCAATCTTGGCGTGCCGTTGCTAAACCTCCCATAGCTGTGGCTTCTCTTGTGACCGGGGCGCGCATTCGCATGGTGATGGTCTAGACCCAAGTCACCAGTTGAGTGTGAGTGGCCTGCTCCTCTTGATGCGAAGAACATCTCAATCCCTACCACCATAAACACCGATGACATGGCTATTAGACCCGGCATAGCCGGGTAGCCCTGGTTCCAGAATCTGGGAAGACATGGGTCGGTAAGGGATTCGAAGGCGGTGGGCAGGAGATGGACGAAGGCGGTCGCTATCAGGACACCGGTGCCGAAGTGCCTAGATATAAAGAGGAATTGGTGCGGAACAGGTATCGAGGGAAAGCGCTTGACGACGATGGGAAAGGAGCAAGCTGCGACATGGTCAGTGGTGTACTCATGTGTACGTGAAGCAACATGCGCACCTGCAGTACTCAGCGTGAGTATCAAGAACAGCGCGAAGACATGTACTGGCGTGTTATAGTATCCCTTGCCGCCCTTGCTTCCACATTCCGGTCGTTCCTCGTCCTCTTGCTGTCTTCGGAGCAATTCCGCGTGGAGGATATGCGCAGGTATTTCTGAAAGCCCTAAATCAGAGGAGCGCGGTTAGTGTACGGACGCCACAGTCAGCAGAATAAGCACGCATACCTGCTGCAATTCCGTCTGCCTGCATTGCGGATGTTGACAGAGCTTCCGGAAGTTGAAGGTACGCGTGGTTCCATCGCGCTTGCCCAGTAGTCGCCGGGGGCCGGAGGCTCTTTATTCCTCGGCTCCTTCACCTGTTCACACACTCTCCGGGTCCGCGTGTCGACGTGCCTTCTTCCCTCTGACTGCGAATTGCATACGTACGCGTGTTTGCGGGCTTCACTTGCACCCATGTATACAAAAAGTATTTCCGAGCGCGCCGGAAAGCCAAGAGTGCGTCATACCCGGTATCGTTTGAACCTCAGAGACGGCAACTCATCAAAACTCGACAATGCATAGGCTATCGCGCGCTCCGGCTACTGGTAGTGTCGGCTGTGGCGTCCTCGACTCCCATCTTGACTATTCTAGACATTCTAGACAGGCAACATGTCCATGGAACATCATGCAACCCTAGCCACTGGCCATGGATGGTACTATTTTTGATCCCTTTCAGTCCAAAGCCATCCGCGAATCCTATTGCCTACATATATAGACAGACCCTGTGCCGTCTGCCGTCTCACGGAATCATTTCGCATACCCGTCTGAGACCAGCATAGGGCGTCGCGCGTCTTCATCATCGTTCGAGAGATTGGCATCGGCGGAGACACCCCGTCACACCCGACTTCGCTTCTGCAGCCTAACACGAATCGGGTCCTTGATAGTTTCACATCTCGCGCCCCTCCACCACCTCCAGTAACATCAAAGACGATACAGGCGCAGCCCGACATCGTCCCGGCAGATGTCAGAACCAAAATGGTGGTACTCGAGCATGGATTGGGAAAGTCTGGCCTAGTCACCACTCGCAACGTCTTCCCGGCTACACCCTGCTAAGCCCCACCATCTACCACATCTCAGAACAGGACAATTCGGCATATTGCTAATTCTGTGACGGGAAGAACCGCTCGAGGGCCCGAAGGAGCCACCCAAGGGAGACTTAGCGGCTTTAACCGACAATGTCTAATCAGCAAGACTTCTTGTTCGTCGATGCAGCTCAAGCAAAGACGTCTCGCCAAGGTCGCCGCAATGCTCGTTCTTTTGTCATGCAGAACGCGCGGAGGAAGAACCCTTGGTCTACAAGCAAACATGGTGCAAAACAAAGGAAAACTGGAAGTCCCGAAAGCGCAAGTCCCAACAGTACATGTGCGTCAACGCCAAAAACAACCACGCCAAGCCCACCAATTGTTGCGAACAAGTCTGACTACTTTTCCTCCCCAGAGTCCAAGGGCTATGCAATAGTCAGAAAAGATGTTTGTCCAGACTGTCAGATTTTTCTGTGTCGCCCTGGTGAGAGGCTATGCCAAAGATGTCTTTTGCTCAAGCCTGCGGCGCCTGCAGAAGACCCAAATAATCAATTATTCGACCCTTTTCGGACATCGTCTGTCGAAGTTACCCGCAGCGTATCGGAACTGTTGAAGCATTGTAAGTGACAGTCCCTGCATCCTTGTTTGCATCGACGTTTCCCAGTTTGCCGGGTTCGTGACATGGCAACGCTGCCCAGCATGTTGGCCAAGAGCGCAGTGCAATGGCGGGGAGAGCGCAGAGTCTAGACTGCAGTCGATTGCAAGGCGTCAAACAGCCCGATGGGTGGTGGTCTTGGTTTCCGTACGCTGACTAGTATTGTGTAGTTTCAACGGAGATGGCGCCCGGTATCATCGCAGTCGACGTTCGGCATCGGTCGACCTTGATGAAGTCGGACTGGTTTGGTACAGCAATCGGTAACTCAGGGTTCATGCACAGCCTGCTCGCTACGATTGCGCTACACGCCTGGGTATTCGGGAAAGACACGATTGATGCCGTCTTATATCATCGAGCACAAGCTATTGCTGCTGTTAATGCCGCGATACTGACACCGGATGGCGTCTCGGATGCGAACATAGGCGCAGTTTTCAATTTACTCACCATAGAGCAGGGACTCCGTCTGCCATGTTTCGAACTGCATGAAGACCACGCAGCCCAACTCGAGATTCATGAGAGAGGTTTGCAAAGAATGGTGCAGTTGCGTGGAGGATTACGAGCAATCAACACAAATCGCATCCTCCAGGCTTTTATGCTTTGGTGTGTAGCTAAAACTCCCACGTTCTGTCCCGAACCGGGTTGGCATGTGCTTACTGAGCATCAGGCATTCGACCGCTCACGCCATCTTCAACTTCCAACCACCAAGCCCCTCTACATTGGATTTCATCAGCACGTCCGGTTTCCCACATCATCCTCCAGGCTACCGGCGGCACATCTCACAGCATCTAATCGACTACTGCCGGCATGCTGGTATCAAAGAGTCGCTCAATGCCCTGGTGGAATCGGTGCTCTTCCTGATAGCCGATCTCAACGCCTGGTTCAGTGATCCCGAAAGTTTCTTAGACCCTCTCGATATTCAGAATTTCTCGTGTGCCTTGGAGTGCCTCTTACTTACATGGCTACGTGAAAACGAACATCTTGCTACCCCACTTGAAGATGCGCTTTGCGTTGCGTTGCTCATATTCACGGTGCGCACGACAGAAGCATTCAATCAGCAGTCTCACGTTCACCATCTTCACTTTGCGGCAAGCAAAAGATTAGAGAAAGCGTTGAACTGTACCATTCGTACTGAATGGCAGCATTGCCCCGACCTTCTGCTCTGGATACTCTCTATTGGCGCGATATCAGCGGAGCCCTCGCCGGATAGCACATGGTTTGTGTATCAAACATCGCTCGCTTGTGCAGAATTCGACATCCTTTCGGCCGAAGCGCTTCTCGAACGACTACACCTCTGCGGCTGGGTCAGCTACAAGCTCAATGACGCTGTATGTCATCTATGGGACAGGGTTGTTAATCTCAGGTTAGATGACCGTACATTCTTGCCTATGCATTCGTTTGCTTATACTTGAGTTTGTCTTGTACGTAGGCTTGCGCCATTCTTCGAAGCACCCTCGAAAGCTGAAGACGCCAATAGTCCTGTTGGACCGTTACAACAACACGTTGCCGAACCGGACCTCAACGCGTGGGAGAGCATTGACTGGGCCGCGCTGAGTCTGGGTCTGGATCATCCAAACGAAGGGAATGAAGATAATCCCGATGACCGAGGTGCGACAGCAGAGACTTGCGGCACTGGAGCGACAGACGAATCGTTGTATACCTTTGGCAGCGGCTATGCTTTCACGTGTACGTATAGCCTCGGCCGTTTTGAGATCCCACTAATGCATGTATCAATGAGTGCTAATGATTTTGGCGAATCTACAGGGCCCACGACCCAGCATTCATACCCACCCTGGATGAACGGATCGCATAGTCACCACGAACAATAGGCCAAACTTTTCATTGTTGCTAGATTGTTGCCTTGAAGTGCACACATCTGCGCTTGGTCAATCGATCAACAGCACTCCAACTTGGAGTCAATTTGACGCTCCACACTATAATCGAGCATATCGTAGCAGTGTCCCGTTTGGTGTGTAAAGCCGTTCACACATGTTACTCCCTCGTGCAGTATCGGTTCGACCTTATATTTCCACCCAGTTGGCTATGGTGATCGAGATGTGGCATTATTTCCATATCTACAGACTTCTCAATAGGCTGTGATGATGGCGTTACTCAGTTTCCATGCCGTTAGGATCTCCTTATGGCAAGAGGAGACAGACTATGGGCGTTTTCAATGCTGGGCCCAAAAGGATCTTCCAATACACACAGGTCCTCGATGTCGTTCTTATGTCAAGTATGCACTTTGGTATCCCTCGATCTACAATCCTCAATTCCTGCAGAACGTTACCAGTCTGATAGATTTAGCCGTGGTACGGCATTGCTCTAGTCAAGCGCCGACACCTCCGACACGTTTCCGTCAGCTGTAGCTGAACAATTTGATTTCCTTCCACCCTTCGCATCTATCAGCGTATCAGGCGCAGACCTCATGTCATAGTAACTACTACGAGCTCAGAGGGAGACTGATGAGTTCAGAGGTGAAACCTTAAATATTTTCGAAGGAGGTACTCAGCTCTTACATTCACCGATTTTCTAGTGTGAACGTACGAGTAGTCACAATGTGTGTATGTGTGAGATCACACGGCCCTCTCTCGGACAACTACATAAACCTTCCTCTTCCTTATTTCTTGGGAAAGAACCAACATCAACTCAACCCCAACATCTCCGCCTCCGCCAGAGTTGTTCTTCAACTTTCCTTCTTGATCATCCAACGGCCACGAAAAGCCCTGCCCTTGTTGTACTCTCTCGATCAAAGACACAGCTACCAACTGATAGCGTCCGCAAACTATGGCCAAAAGCATCTTCATTGCACTTCCAAACGACCTCTTGGACCAAATCTTTGCAGATGTGGACCGCGAAGATTTGATAAACCTTATCAAGACGCATCAATCTTTCATGAAATCCGCTCAGCGGCACTTGTTCCACACAATCAACCTTCCAGCACAATCTACCTTGGGCAAATCTTTTGTCACATATGACAACAAGATTATCGATGCATCGCAAGTCCAGGAATACATACGATGGGAACAAGATCATAATCGATATCTTGACGCAGGGCCCTCGATTTTGCTACCGATACCAGATGCTCAGATGCCACCAGACTACAAACAGGAGAAGGCCTACAAAAGGGTGATGGATCGACAGCGTACCTGTGCTCTGATCCTGCAGGCTATCACATTGACACCGCACCTGGCAGACTACGTCCGTCATGTTCAGATAGATTCTGAGTGGGGCTCACCACTCTTTTTCAATTCGCAAACTTACACCATACTCAACAAACTACCGAAATTGCGTAGAGTCGAAATCGTTATCAAAGACTGGGTGGCAGGTCGAGAATGGATCCCAATCCAGCAAGTTTGTGTACAGCAGCTATTCGACATGCTTAAAGACCTCCGAATCCAGACAATCGTTTTGAAGACACCATCGGTCAGGATTCTGAGCAAACTGATGCAGATACCCACCATCCGGTCTTTCGCAATTGACACCGTTACCGAATCTCTGGACGATTATCACCCCTCGTCGTTTGAGCCTACTATCCTTCCCAACCTTATATCCTTCGATTCCAGGAATTTCACAATAGGCCCTGCTAAAATGGTAAAACTGCTCAGTCAGGCCAAAAACCTCCAGTCACTGCTCATCACCACGAATTCGGACTATGTCCGCCCAATGAATTTTGAGGTTGCCAATGGTACCCTGATCGTATCCACTCCAGGCATTCTAAAAGCGAGTCTGGGGCCTAATTCTTCCTTGAAAGAATTAGCACTGCTAGAACCGGCGGGCGTATATTTTACAGAGGGTCGTCACTTTCGTGACCATCTCCACCCTACCATCAACGCCAATTTCTCGTTCCTCAAACACCTGCGAATCCTGAAGATCACCTCGGCCTTTTGGTACAATCGCCATTTCGACCTACCCAGCGCACCCGAAAACGGCTGGATGTGGAAGAAACAGGACCGCTGTGCTGCTCGCGTGTACAACTTCCTCCCTCCATCGCTCCGCGAATTGGAAATCCAATTCATGTGGCCCGAAGTTGTTTTCGCCGCGGGCCTTGGCTATCAGACACACTTTCCTTTGACACCTCAGGCTACCCAGTTGAAGGGTTTTGAATGGATCAAGGAATTTGCGGAGCAGAAGCAACGTAAGAAAGGTGTTTTGCCAGAACTGGAATGCCTTAGATTGGTCGAGGTTAAGGGATCGATCGTCGGTGGGGGCCCTAAGATGTATGCCACGAATACCTATTCACCACCGGAAGTGATGAGGGAAGTGTTTGAGAATGCTGGGATTAAGCTTGTCATAAAGCTTTCAAGTTCGTTAGCGAGCGAGTGGTAGCGCAAGTCACATGATGAACTTCCATGCTTCTAAGCGTATCAAGGTTGTATTTCTGTCTATCGTACCGAGACAAATGGTGGCTCTACCGCTTTAGTACAACCAATGGAAAACGGAGATGTACCTCCTCTATGTATCAGCTTAAGGCTTCCCATGCTTGATAGCTCTAATTTGAATCTTCAACTTGATGCCTCTATCCCCAAACGCCCTTTTCAGTTCCAACGGCGGGTCCCAGTCAAGGACCGAATCACAATCATAACGATCGCCCGTTCTACTTATACGTCTTCTATCGGCTGGAACCAGTCCCTCAAGTACCTCGACATTCTTCAGATGAGGAAGTTGTGAAGCATCAGGAGCAACGAGCTCATGTATCCAATTCCACGCTGGTTTCATTCTCATCTTCGCTTCGTCGGAGGTCATACGGAAGAATGCTGCACAGTAGCCCATGCCAACGGCAAAGACGGCAGACATGCCATTGAAGTCTACACGAAGGGAGGATAGAGATGGAGGCAGTAAGTTGACGATAGATGGACGGATAATCTCCTCGCGCTTCCACAGAAAGCCTTGAAGGCCTTCATTGCTACGGCCGAACCACAAGCTAGCGGGTATATGTAGTCGCTTGAGAGCGGAGAGACCTGAGAAGGGCATGCAGGGGAGTTGTTCCTGCTGCCACTGGCATGCTGGATCTTCAAGTATTGTCATGTCCGTTAGGGTTTTGGTTGCGTGAATCAAGCGCTTCGCTAAGGTGATTGTGGTATCAAAATGAAGTAAGTAGTATTTGATGTCGAATTCTCGCAAGACGATGTTTGCGTACTGCTGGGCGATGACTGGTGAAGAACGAAGCATACAGTCGTTGAGAATAAGACTCAGTCCAACCTTTCGTTGTGGCTTCAATGTGTTGAGCATATCCATGAGCGTAGAGTAGTCCTGGACGGCTCCCCGGACCTTTTCCTCGAGATTCTCAATCATGTCTTGATGCTGACTATCAGGAAAGGGGCGAGCGATGATCTTGAGCGTGACGTGTCGGATTGCCGGCAGGCAGTTCAACACTTCCTGCGTTGCATCTGCTAGACGAAATTGTGCCCGGCTGTCAAAGACAAGTTCAAGATAGCGTATCGGTCCAACGAGAGTGTTGCCGGATCGTGTCTCATCTTGGCTGCCATGAATGCTGCCCACAAGCTCTTTGCATGCTTCTTGTGCACCGTTCCCGCGTACAAGAAGTCTTCGAATACTGTGGCGCACTGCATTGGCTGGTGGAGCAAACTTCGGATGGGCTTTGCTCAAATGTTTGAGCGTGTCGTCGTCGTCTATGAAATACTCAAATACGTATGCGAGAAGTTCGATCGGGATAGTAGTAAGAGTCAGAGAGGACATGTTTCCTCTGGGTCAAGTGAGGACGGTTGGAGTTGGTTGCCTGGAAGATATAATACTTGAGGACTACGGTAGATACCGATCACCGTGATTGGCCAACTGTTAGTCCTTCCCCCTTCGGTCACCGCGTCTACAGATTCTTTCCATCTTTGGTCACCGCGCTGTCTGGACCTTGCATATAATGCACAGTCGTTGTTCAGATCCGCATTGCCGGTTTCGGTGACGAGAACCTTACCATAGCCGACGGATGACCTACAAAAGATGCAAAACTTGTTGTTAAGTTGTTCATTTCATTCTCTCTTTGGTACAAACGTAAATGTGCCGCACTCTAGGCAGTCAACTGACGGAAAATGCAACCAACCATGCAAGAAATTGAACGCTAATCCATGCAGAAATCGACAAACATATAACCAGGCCATTTCAAACAAGCCCAGCGACCAGATAAGCAATCATAGGCTGCTTTCGTTCTTTGTGACCAGCGCCGAATCAAAATGCTGATTTCAATGCTTTCCCGCTCCTGTATACGCCATAAATGCAATCAATGTATGAGGGAACGATCATAGACTAGCCTCCGTACTACCATCGTCGAGGTCCTCGGGGTTTGCGACATTAGCGTCATCGTCGTCGTCCTCATCCGAAGTGCTGCTATCGTCGTCATCAGCATCATCTTCGTCATCGTCGTCGTCGTCTTCATCCTCATCGTCCTCATCTTCGTCGTCTTTTTCTACTGGCATACCGGGTACGGGCCGCCATTGCACGTAGTCGTGCTCGACCCAGCGCTTACTGCGCGGAAGCACATATGGGTCGAATGGAAAGTACGCATCCATTAGGAAAGCCTCTTCACCCTTTTTGCCAGTGAGAGCAGTCTCTCGGCCGCCAATACCATTGAGATAACCACTGGCCAGGCTGCGAGAGAGTCGCACACGCTTGTTTGTCTCTACCAGGGTATCGACGTAAGTGAAGCGGAGGTGCTTAGCAATGCGGCCGAACTGCTTGACAATGTCTGGTGCGCAGATTCTGAGTGGATTGAGTTTGCAGAAGATGTTACGCCGTACGATTTCGAGGGTTGATCGGTGCCACTGGAAGTCGCCTTCGTGGTACATGATGTCTGCATCAGTAGGCAATGTGCCGTCGG